GTACTTGACAGTTACTCGTCCTGATATCACCTATGGGGTGAATATCCTCAGTTAATTTGCGAATGTTCCTACGCAAGGCCATTGGGATGCAGTCATGCGTGTACTGTGTTACATAAAGTCCTCTCCTAGACAGGGTTTGTTCTTTCCCGCTCACGGCTCGCTTGATCTCGTGGCCTACTGCGACGCTGATTGTGGTGGGTGTCAGACCACTCGTCGTTCTACTACAGGTTTCTATGTTAGCCTGGGTTCTGCTCATGTCTCTTGGCGAACCAAGAAACAAAAAGTTGTTATTCGTTCCTCTGCAGAAGCTGAGTATCCATAGTATTACAATCTTTGATTTTAAATTATTTGTTCGTTAACATAGTATTATAATCTTTGATTGAGAGATCGTATTCACATCCTTATGACGATCCCAATATAAACAATTGTTTAGCACAAGATAGAAACTTTAAAAAAACCTCTACAAACCAAGAAATCCGCTAGAAAATTAGGACCTTCATAAACGCAATATATACATGAGAATCTTCTAATAATTCTGATGGGTGACGGGATTTCACGCACCGGTGATCTCGAGCGATTTAGCGAAAGAACTAGAAAACACGATAAAAGAGCTACTTTTCTCTACTAACTACTAATACTTTATTGATCGACTGAATAAAACGAAGAGCAAAGGTACATATTTATAGGACTAATCCTACAAACCCCTTTTCTTTTAAGACAAGGAAACCCAAACCTAAAGCAACAAGTAAACGAATGCTTCCTAAACAAGATACGTAAATAATAATTCTAGACCCAAACTAATACGAATAACTCGAATAATAACCGAATATCCCAACAAATAATAATAATAATAATAATAATAATAAAACAACAATAATAATAATAATAATAATATAAATGGGCTCGGCACAAGATGCTGTCACGCATCAAATTTCATGACTGGAAACTATGCATATATCACTGCTATATCCAGTTTGTTCTGGCAACAAAAAATAATTCTCCACGTACCTTCCAGTTGTAGTAACCGTTCAAGTTTCATCCCTAGAGTAGTAGGAATAGGTAGTTGGAGTAGAAGCCAAAGTCAACTAGGAAAGTTACAATCAGATGGAGACTTACATCATTCATTTACTTTGTATTGTGACTTTTACTAGCATTTGAGTCTTCAGTCCAGAAATGAAATGAATTCAGTTTTTTATCGGCAGAAAATCCTAACATGCAAACAAACAAGCCCTAACACTCCATTGCCACCCTGTTTTGGAACAAATGATAATGGGGCGGTCGTGAAGGAAAATAAATGGTTCAAGGCATCGCAATGAAACTTCATAGTACGAAGTCGCCGACGAATTTCGGGTTGCAGTCCATTTAAGGCTTTAACAGTTCAGGCCACAAGCTCCTGGAAGAAACTCGATTTACCATTTCTCACGAACCTCACTATAGTTCCTTCTATTTCTTACTTCTTCCCCCCAAATCCCATTGCACCGACTACCATTAATCATAATCTCTAGTTACTTTTAGGGCTAATACCATTGGAAATACCATCCTTTAGCGAAAGTGTCATTTATATTACGTACTTTCAATAAACACAAAAATATTCCAACATATTAGGGGTTTGCGTCATTTGTGTTACGCGAATTTCTGTTGACTGTTAGAATTGACGGTTGACTGACGATGGTCAACTTATATTTGACTATTGCTTATGTGGCTCTTAGGTGTTGTCTAGATATGTGCCACGTAGGAAATTAGTATTTAGAAAATATTAATTTAATTTTCGGAAAAAATAATTAATATTATTAATTTATTTTTAAATATTTTTTTTCTAAACAATGGTCCTCTGCCCTCCTCCGCAACCCTTACAGCCAGGGTTCACTCTTTCTCTCGCCGCCGACGCAGTCATGCCACATCTGCTTCTTTGGACGATCCCAGCTCCTCGATTTGCGGCCGCGTGATTCAGCTTCTTCCTCGGCTCTGGGCAACGCGGGTGAGCGGCGACAACGATCACGGAAGTGGACCCCCCAGCTCACTGATCTATTGTTCTTACGGCCGACACACTTCGACGGTGACGACGCTGCAACTGCGGGAGGAACCCGGCGTCGACGACAACGACAATGACAACCAGATCCTTGGATTTAGATCTAAATCTCCCACTGCCTCTCGATTCCGCCTAATCTGTCTAATCTGCCTGTTTTTCGATTATAGATGAGGAGATGAATCTAGATCTATCGATGAGATTTGGAGAAGGAGAATAGTGGGCGGAGGGAGGCGACAACGTTCCATTTGCCGATAAAGCAAGTATCCGGCAGCGTTGATACTCCTTCTGTCAAGCTTTGGTGGAGATGGGATGAATAGGGAGAGGAATAAGGTTCTTCAGTTCTCTTCGAGAGTGACAAAGAGGAAGTGTAATTTCCCCTTTTTTATTTTACCTTTATCTTTTTTTGTAAATCTTTTTATGCTAATTAAATGCGGAAATTAGATAGGCGGGTTATAATTTCCACGTCAGTGTGCCAGGTAGGCACTGACTAGTCTCCCAGTTAAATATAACAGTCAAACTAACTGAAAAGACGATTTGGTATACAAATGTCATATCAATAATTTCGTAATATAAATGGCACTTTCGCTAAAGGTTGGTATTTTTAGTGGTATTAGCCCTTACTTTTACCACCATGTGCATGCAAAAAAGCTACCAGAGTCATACTGATATAGGGTTCCATCCATATAAAATGATTAAACCATAATTCAATAACAAAATATTATATCCTTAATTTATTCAATACAACTTTTAATATGATCTAACAATCCTTAATTCCTTACAACACTAAACCGATAATGCAAAAAGAGATTCAAACCAACACACTCCGATGTAAGGATGGCAATTACCCACTAATGGGTAATTATACTCAAATCGAAGTAGACCCATTGATAATCGGTTGAGTTGGGTATGGGTGAAATGCATATGGGGTTTGGAGGTTTGTAGATGAGTTTGGGTAAGGTATGGATATTGCTTCCATAATCTAAATGGGTATGGGTTGGATATGGATATTCATTTAGACCATCCACAATGTGGGAGGGTGGGAAAGGTGGGAAAAGAGGGAAAAGGGGGAAAATGAGAGGGTTTGGTCACAATGTTGGTGTGGGAAAAAGGGGTAATTGGTTGAACACTTTTTTTCGTAAAATCAATTTATAGTTGATTTCAACACTTTATTTTTATATAATGATTATTATTTTTACATAGTTAGTGATAATTAATGAATACGAACATTTTGATATAATTTTTTTTCTAATTTGGACATAATTTTTTTCATCACTAATTAACGTCATTAATGACGAAATCACAATAATTTATACAAGAAAGTTGTTACATTGATAGTTGAACATAAACATAATTAAGAAGAAATAAAAGCAAACAAATAAACACTAAACCCTAAAAACAAACACTAAACCATTAAAATAATAACAAAAAAATAAAATAAAAACAAACTGAAGTGGGCCCCACCCCTTCCCCTTTCCCCCCACCATTTGTCTCATCTGGTGGGTTTTCCCACCCACTAAACCCACAAAACTCATTTAATCCCCTATTCCCCCCCACATTGTGGTCACATTTCCCCTTTTTCCCACAAAACCAACCCACACTGTGGGTGGTCTTACTTGAAGGTGTTTTAACTACACATATAAAAATTGGACCTATTTGTAAAACTTGAAAAGTTTAGGTACCAAAATGTAAGGCCAAACAAATTAGGTATTTGAATGTGATTTCCCATCGATGTTTTGTGGACTTATATGCAAAAAAAGGTACTAAACATGCATATCTATTAAGTTTAGATACCAAACTGTAATTTGCATTTGGGCATGGATAAAACTCAAATCCATTTGTTAAAAACTCAACCCAAGTAAATGGGTATATATACAAACTACAAACCCATCAAACCTGCCTCTTTAGCCACCCAATTTGCACTTTTGTTACATGAACGAGACACAAACTCAACTTTGATTCTATCATTGTGAGTGAGGAAATGACGCATACGTTGAATCAAAGTCATGATTTGCTAGAGACCTCTCTTGTCAAGTGAGTGAACGACGTCGATAACGATTTTGCAAACTGAGAGGATCCTTGTCCGAGAGACCACAATGTTTTGAACACCTAAAAGTAGAATTATTTGGTAACCATATTAATTATTTTTAATATTTTTAACCCCTCAACTTTATTAATCAATGCAAAATTCACTATTAAAAGGTCTTTAAGTAATAAATTTCATGAAAAAATGATAATTTAAAATGGAGAAAATAGTGGGGTGTAATGTAAATGACAAGTATGATGGAACAGGAAACGTGTGTGGCAGGAGGTACGGCTATCAAAGTGGCCACTTGTCAATCTTTGCGTTTTCAAACTCACAGAAAGAACATTGTTTCATTCATCCTCCAAGAGTCAAATGTGCGTTAATGAGAGCAGTATTAAGTAACCCACAGTTCAGTAATACAAAAAGACTTCCCTTTTCTCTGCCGCCACTCTCTTCTCTGCTTCACTCCCCTAAACCCCCTACTTCAACACCAACAAAGGTAAATTCCCTCCACAAAATTCCCAATTCCTCCAAATTCTCAAGCTTTACGAACAACCATGATCTGGGTTCGTGTAAACATGATCTGGGTCTGTGTATTTTTCTCTGTAAATTGAATTCCAAAGACCGAAGCCTTGAAATGGCTGTGCATTGAAGTGTGACCGGATTTGGGGTTCTGGAGATGGCACCTTTCCATCTTCTGTTTACTAATTGATGAAACGAAATCTGGCACTGGCAAGAGAAAGAAAACTGATCAGTCTGCTGGGTCTAATGCCAATAAATGCGAGACCCGGGATTTTACTTTCACCCCATGGCCATGGCCCCCAATTGGGACTGCCCTGCTTTTGGGGCTCTCTCTTCACATTTACTTCCCCGTCTCTCCCCTGGCTTCTGACGACTACCCAAAAAAATCTCATCAATCCCATTCTGCTTCCTCTTCTTCTCTTTCTCATTTAAAGCTTCCGTCTTTAATGATTCTACATCTCCATTTCTTTTATCACTGCGGCAGTGCTCTCTCAAAGCTGGCTGTCTCTTTTCCTTTCTGATTCTGGGTTTTGTGTGTGTGGGTTTGTCAAGAAGAAGAAGGAGGAGAGATGGGGAGGACTCCTTGCTGCGACAAAGATGAAGTGAAAAAGGGAGCTTGGAGCTCTGAGGAAGACCAAATTCTGTTTGATTACATCAACAAGCATGGCCATGGTAGCTGGCGTACCCTTCCTAAGAATGCAGGTATGTCCTTCCTTCCCTGTCTCTCTCGCTTTCTCTCAGATTGGCTTTTGGGTTTGTTGAGAGTAAAGACAGAATCGCAAAAAGACTTCATCTTTTTGGCATTTTCCTTTCACTGTGCTAAGCTCTCTTACTCTGCCCCCATCACCCGCACGATTTGGCCTTCTCGTGAAATCTCTGTCTTTCTTTAGTTGTTTGCTTTCCCCTCTTTTCACTGTCAGTTTCTGTCTTGCTTTACTTCAGAAACTGTTTATGTTAGGGTTTGGTGGTTTGGAAGAATTGGGCTACTTGATGAAATTGGGAGGGAAACCATCTATTACTAGGATGAGTAGTGTTGTGTACCATGTTTGTGAAACCATATTGGAGTTCCAATCAGTGAGTCTAGTTAGTTCAATCGGTGAGACTAATCAGTCAAGAGTAATTGAACATTATGGTCTTCAGCAATCATAGAGTCACTTGATTAAGAAGAGTCATTTATATCTCGATTGTGAAATTATATCGGGGTTCAGATCGGTGAGTTCGAATGCTTTGAAGTAACAAGCACAACAACATAGAGGATGTTCAATCGGACAAACTAACGGTTCAAATCGAATGTATGCATAGTAGAATCACCATACAATCTTGTTATCTTGATAATTGCTACATAATTTAACCCGTATAACTGTTTTGTGCACGTTACGATATCACATACAACGAATATTTGACATCTTTGAATTGTTAAAATGTTGGATGAGTGACAGGTCTTCTCCGATGTGGAAAGAGTTGTCGATTGAGGTGGACAAACTACCTCCGCCCCGACATCAAAAGAGGCCCTTTCACCCCTGATGAAGAAGCCACCATTGTTAGGCTCCAAGGCGAGCTTGGAAACAAGTAAGTATAAAACTCTCCAAACTGTCCTGCCTTCAAAGGAACTTCATACTTGAGAGTTCCCATTTCCCACCTTAAATAATCCTAACTTGCTGAAGAAATCGCAGGTGGGCAGCCATAGCATCCCATATGCCAGGAAGAACAGACAATGAGATCAAGAACTTCTGGAACACTCACCTCAAGAAACGCCTCTCAACTCCCCCACCTGCTCTACCAAGCACCAACATCAAGATCGAGGGGGATTCCTCTTCCCCGCTTGCAACTACTACTCGTCACATTGCGCAATGGGAGAGCACCAGGGTGGAAGCCGAGGCTCGCCTCTCCTCCTTGCGGCCAGGACAACAACAACAACAACAACAGCAGCAGCAACACAAGTTCGACCAGGACTACTATCTCAAACTATGGAACTCAGACATCGGCAAATCGTTTAGAGACATCAACAAGGTCCAGAAAGATGGCAGGGGAGGCGGTGGCTGCGAGAGCTCGACTTCACAAGCATCTTCCCTCACGAAATTGGGGTCTGGGTCTGTCGATGATGACACTCTCGCTACTACTACCCCCACTACTACTGTGACGAAGACTTGTAGTGCAGCAGCCACCATCAAGAGAAGCGCTTCTAGCGAGGCAATCCACCACCAGCACGAGGTCGAGGGAGGGTTGTGCTACTACTACGAGGGAATGGAGGAGACGAAACCGTGTCATCTTGATGTGATGATGAGTAGCTCGGATTCCATCACTTCGACGACGAACGAATTCACGAATTACTCGGACACGGCGTTGAAGCAACTGCTGGATATCCCTGGTGGGAGTGGCATGGATTTCCTGGAGGACGAGAGCGATGACTTCATTAACTTCCTTGACCTCAGATGCGTCTGAGAAGAGAATCTGATGTCAAAAAAAAGCTCACATCTAATCAACCCTATGTCTCCTTTTTTGTTTAACCTTATTAAGCTAGCGGTTTAGGTTCTTAACTGCGGTTTAGCCATGAATCAGGCTCCCCCCGCCACATTTGATCTCTGAGAAGACAGGAACAGCGGAAATGGGAAAGCTGTTGGGGTGTGAAGAAAACAGAGCACCCCTGTTTTGTTCCAAACAGAATGTCTGTCTTTTCTTTTTTGTTTTTTTTTTTCCCCATCTTGTTGTAAGATGTTGAAAATGTGGCGGAAAGGTTGAAAACTTTGTGAATTAAGGGTTCATTGAAGAGTAAGGAGATCCAGAACTAGAATGCAAGTTATATAAGAAAATTCATCAGTTTCGAGTTCGCTCAATTCAGGAAGAAGTAACTGTTATAGTTGAAAGGTTGAAATACCTTTGTCCCGTTTTTCTTCTCCTTTGTACTGAACATTTTCCCTTGGCTCTCTCACTGCTTGTGAAGCTGTGGGTTTCTTGGCTTTCCTTTGTCTTGAACAAAAATGATAAAGTTCTCACCATTATATAAAAAAACTGTTTTGATAAACAATGTTGTCCTAACTTTGATCCAAACTTGGAAAATTGTACCGAAAATAGTATTTTGTGCTAAAATCTTCGTTTAATAATCTCATTCTACTAAAAACTATAATCTCATTCTACTAAAAATTGCATACTAATATAGATTCCAATTATAAGGTTTTATCCAATCATTGATAGAGTACGATTTCATAAATATTGATTGTATCCCAAACTTGATTGAAATCGTAAATGTAAGGCCACTTGTTCTCTTGGCTGTATTTTGTCCCAATGTCCGCTCCACAGCTCGTCCATTCTTTCAAATCACCACTTCCACAGCTCTCAGGCAATCAAACCACACTCTCAAACAAACATCAATTCCGTGAGAAAGTAACCGCGGGAAAACTGATGAATCAAGTGTTCCATTGGTATGATATTGTTCGTTTCGGGTCAAATCCTCATAAATTGACCTTTAAATTAATGTGTACCTGGATTGTCCGTATAATTTGACAGACAATCTTGTCCTAACTTTGGTCACATGCACAAGTTATGTCCCCTTCCTAACTGAAATCGTGGATATTAGGATACCTGTTCCTCTTGGCTGTATTTTGCCCAAGTGTTCCCTTTGATAGCTCATCATTTCTTTCAAACCACCACCTCCAAAGCTCTCTCAGGCCAATCAAACCACACTCTCAAACAAACATCAGCAAGAAACACAGACCTTAAAGAATAGATGAACAGATTACATTACCCCAAACTATCATCCTGAAAATGCTGTGTTTATATACACCACAAAATTACAAACATACCAAATAATACATCAGCAAACAAATCCCACACATACAAATACGCTGCAAATCACAAACAAGCTGCAAATTCAATTTTTTCCCTGGCTGCCTATATGAATCTATGAAAGCCGTACAAACAAACTAGAAATGTTTCATGAGTAACAAATTGTAGTTTTGGTGAATTATGATGCAAAAGGGATATACAACAAACCGAATACTATAAAGAAAAAAAAAGGAAGGATCTTGTTTTTTGGGTTTAGAAACAGCCGCAGCCAAGTGGGTTCTTTGGGGTAGTCCCTCTGGTGTTGCCGGAAGATACTGATGTGAAGACTTAAGGATGCTGGTGTTCTGTTCTGAAGTCGGTTTATAATGTTAAGGACCAAATATGTCATATAGGTTTATTTTGGGCACCTGACAGAACTTTAGCTTAGTATATATGGTCTGTAATAGTCTGGATCAGATCAAGTTTTGGGAAAGTAAATATCACACCGGCGAAATCTCATCTGTTCTTGATCGAATTCAGCCTTTCTTTCCGAGTTTCCAGGATGTGTGTATCTTCTTGATTCGTTCCCCTTCCTGCCTCGTTGTTTTGTCCGATCCGTTCGAACTGTTGGACGATCGTGCTTTTGTTCTGTTCGATCAATCATCTTTCAATTCGGAGGTCAAATTCGAAATTTGAAACTCTTATCTCCTTCGATGGCTACGGCTGCAGAGATCTCTTCAATTTCTGGTGTCTCGGTCTCGGTACCGCTGCCCCCTTCTCATCCTTACTTCATCGCCAACGGGGACGTGCCTTCCCTTCAGTTAGTTACCGCTCCTCTCTCTGGAGCGAATTATCACTCGTGGGCGCGCTCCATGCGGATGGGGCTTCATTCAAGAAACAAGCTTCCCCTTGTTGATCCCTCTGTTGAGCCGCCATCTCCAGCAGATCCACTCTGGAAGGCTTGGGATCAGGCGAACGTACTTGTCCTGGGTTGGCTCCAGCGCTCTCTCTCGCCGGAAATTGCACAAAGCGTGCTATGGTTTGAAACGGCGGTTGAAGTCTGGGAGGATCTGCGTGAGTGAAAGGTTTAGCCAAGGGAACGAAGTTCGGATCTCCGACCTTCTTGATGAAATTGCAAGTCTTCGCCAGGGCACTCTGCCTGTCAGCGATTACTTCACCAAGTTTCGTGTTCTGTGGAATGATGACTTTGACTCACCTTCATTCTCAATTCACTCCAACTGGCCAAGAGACTCAAACAGCTCCATTGTTTGCAAGTGGGATGGTTCTCAGACATCGGCAGCTACAGAGACATCGGCAGCTACACAAATCGTCTCCTCTGAGGAGACTGGTAAATTAGCTCTCTCCTCTCTCTCGCAAACTTTTTCATCACATGTTTGGGTGCTAGACAGTGGTGCTACAGACCACGTTGTCTCTGTATTATACATGTTTTTGTCATATCGTTTGGTCAGTAACATGTTTGTTTCTTTACCAAATGGTAGTCGAGTAGAGGTTACCCATATAGGTACTATTAGGTTGTCCTCTACATTGCTTATTCGTGATGTGTTGTATATTCCAGCTTTTACTTTCAATCTTATATCTGTTAGCAAGTTATCTAAACAACTTAATTGCTCTTTAACTTTCTGTGATGATCATTGCTTAATCCAGGATCGTTCATCCAAGCTGACGATTGGTACAGCTAAACAAAAATCAGAGCTCTTATCATCTAGAAGTTTCCTCTGATTTAGTTGTTTCTGTTGTTTCTTTTGATAGTACTTATGTTCCTTTTGATCTGTGGCACTACCGGCTTGGCCACTCAGGCGTTTCTAGTTCTAAGGTGTTAGATAATGTAGGTTTGTACAGTCGATCTTCTAATAAAAACCCTTGTACAATTTGTCCACTTGCCAAACAGAAAAGGTTACCTTTTCTTTTGAGTTATTCTCACTCAAACACTTTGTTTGAATTAGTGCATATAGTTGTATGGGGTCCGTACAATGTTCCTACAGTTGACGATCAACAGTACTTCTTGACTTGTGTGGATGACTATTCTCGTCATACCTGGGTGTACTTAATTTCTAATAAAAGTGAAGTTCGTCAGTTGGTTATGAATCTACCAGTTTTTGTTAATGCACAGTTTGATAGGAAAATTAAAGTGACAAGAACAGATAATGGACAGGAGTTCAACATGCCTTCTTTCTATACTTCTTTTGGCATTGTACATCAAACTACCTGTCTTGCATCATCTCAACAGAATGGTCGTGTTGAAAGGAAACAACAACACATCCTGGCTGTAGCTCGTGCATTGTTGTTTCAAGCGTCTTTACCTTCGCATTTCTGGGGGTTTGCTGTTCTGCATGCTGTGTATTTAATTAATCGCTTGCCTACTCCATTGTTGAAAGATATCTCCCCTTTTGAACTGGTTTACCATGCCAAACCAGATTATAATGCTCTAAAGGTGTTTGGGTGTCTTGCTTTTGCTTCTACACATGCTCATAATAGGCCAAAGTTTCATCATAGGGCGGATGCTGCTGTTTTCTTGGGATATCTGGATGCTGTTAAGGGGTGCCGATTATATAACCTGCATACCCATGCTATTTTTGCTTCTCGCGATGTTGTATTTCATGAACATGTATTCCCTTTGTGTGTCGAACCTTCTCTGCATAAGTATGATTTTTCTTTTCCTTGTATCCAAGTTCCAGCCACCCTTCCATCTTCTGGCAGCGTGTCTGTACCTTCTCAAACTACTTCTCCACCCACGAGTTCACCATCCAGTCCTTTTACCAGCCCTGCATCTCATCCTTATGAACCTCAGCCTGACTTAATTGATATAATACAAGCCGTTGAACCTCCTGCTCATGCTAGACCTCTTAGGCATCGAACGTCCTAAGAAACTGAATGATTATGTGTGTTGTGTTGATTCTGGTACTGTTCATTTTCCTTTGTCTGATGTGGTTACATATGATAATCTGAGTGATTCCCATAAGCATTATGTCATGTCTATCACTGACGTTGTTGAACCTAGTTGTTATAAAGATGCAGTTCTTGATGAGAAATGGGTTCAAGCAATGAATCTAGAGTTGGCAGCCCTTGCCAAAACAAATACATGGACACTTACCGAACTACCTGCTGGCAAGAAGGCCATCGGTTGTACCTGGGTTTATAAAGTCAAATTTAAGGCAGATGGTTCAGTTGAAAGGTATAAGGCTCGTCTTGTAGCCCAGGGATTTACTCAAACCCCTGGGATAGATTATTTGGATACATTCTCTCCTGTTGTAAAGCATACTACTGTTAGGTTAGTTCTAGCCTTGGCTGCAATTAACAATTGGTATTTACATCAGCTAGATGTTAACACTGCTTTTCTACATGGTGATTTGTATGAAGAAGTCTACATGAGACCACCTCCTGGTCTGTCTTTGCCTTCTAATTCTAAGAATATTATTTGTCGTTTAAACAAGTCTTTATATGGTTTAAAACAGGCAAGCAGGCAGTGGAATCACAAGTTAACATCTTTTCTGGTTGCTGCTGGTTTTGTTCAGTCTAAGGCAGATTACTCTTTGTTCATTAATAAGTCTGCTAAATCTTTTACTGTTGCTCTTGTATATGTTGATGACATCATCTTGACCGGTAATGATCTTTCTGTTATTCAGTCTCTTAAGAGTAAGTTAGATGCAGCATTTACAATTAAAGATCTTGGAGAACTTAAATACTTTCTAGGCTTTGAGATAGCAAGGACTTCTAAAGGGATTTCTCTCTGCCAAAGAAAATATGCTTTAGATTTGCTTGCTGATTGTGGTTTGTTAAGTGCTGAACCTGCAGATTCGCCTTCCACACCTGGTCCAAAGCTCTCTGCCAAGTCCGGTAACCTTCTTTCTGACATTTCTGTTTACAAGCGTTTAATAGGAAGATTGCTTTACTTGTGCAACACAAGGCCAGACATCTCATATGCTGTCCACCAGTTAAGCCAGTTTAATCATGCTCCAACTGATGTACATATGAATGCTGCTGAACGAGTTCTCAAATACATTAAGGCTAGTCCGGGTCAAGGGTTGTTTTTCTCTCAACTTTCTTCCCTTCGGTTGCATGCCTTCTCGGATAGTGACTGGGCAGGTTGTCCAGATTCTAGACGATCTACCACAGGCTTTTGTGTTTTATTAGGTAATTCCTTGATAAGTTGGAAGTCCAAAAAGCAACAGACCGTATCACGATCCTCTGCCGAAGCAGAATATCGAGCCATGGCCATGTTAACCTGTGAAATCCTTTGGCTTAGATATGTATTGCATGATCTGGACATTACTTTTGCTGCCCCTACTGCTGTGTATAGTGATAGTCTTTCTGCTATAAAGCTTGCTGATAATCCTGTGAATCATGAACGTACTAAGCATATCGAAATTGATTGTCATGTCATACGTGATCAGATCATTGCAGGGAATATCAAGGTAATGCATGTTTCCTCTTCCAATCAATTAGCCGATATGTTCACGAAATCGTTGCCGGTTGCAGTTTTTCAGGGTATCATGTCCAAGATGGGTCGTCTAGATATCTACGCCCCAGCTTGAGGGGGGGTGTTGCCGGAAGATACTGATGTGAAGACTTAAGGATGCTGGTGTTCTGTTCTGAAGTCGGTTTATAGTGAAGTCGGTTTATAATGTTAAGGGTGTCATATAGGTTTATTTTGGGCACCTGACAGAACTTTAGCTTAGTATATATGGTCTGTAATAGTCTGGATCAGATCAAGTTTTGGGAAAGTAAATATCACACCGCTACCGCTCAAACTTATCTCTAAAAATCCTCCAAACTCTTACTGTCATATCATGTGGGGCGATACTTTGCAGCAATCTCCTCTGCTTTCAGCAGCTCTTCGCCTCGTTTCGCTTCGGTCATGGCTCTCATCTCCTCGGCTTGCTTGTGGATTTCTGCGATCTTGTTCTTCATCTTCTCGGTGTACTCTGCTTTCTTCTTCTCCAGTTGTTCCTCTAGCTTCTTGAGCTCCGCCTCGATGTTCGCTTTCTTGCTGTTCTCCCATGACTCGATTCCAGAAAGCTTCTTCTGAGCTCTGGTTCCCGGAAAACAGGTCAAAAACCCAAATAGGCACTGGAAATGGAGAAAAGGGAAGGGAATGAAAGGAGAGTTGGAAGGTTTTCTTCTTACTTGTTCTCAGCTTTGCTCTTCTCGGCCTCTTCCCAAGCTTTGATGAGAGAAGTCCGCTTCTCTGTTTCAACTCTGGCAAGCACAGCATCTAAAAACCCACACCCAGCACAGCAAACAAACAAACAAACAAAGGAAAAAAGTTACTTCCTTTATTCAACCAAACCGAAGCCATGAAAATCTGGAACTCAGAAAGGGAAAAGGGTTTGTGAATTACCTCGATTGATAGAGCCCTCGGCAGGCTTTGCCTCTTCCACTGCAGCTTCTGCCACCTCTGTTTCCCCAAACCAACCAACCCCAATAAAAATCATTTTTTGTATAATTAACAAAGATTTCAGAGGTAATTTGGGGACATGAAAGGGGGAATTTTATATATGCAAACAGTATGCTTTTAGTCGGCAGGCAGTCAGTGGCTCACTCTCTGGCAAGTCCTCTAAAAACAGAGCAAAAGGGTAAAAAAGAACGAAATTTTGGCAGAGTTGTAACAAAATAATCAGAACCCAGAAAGCAGAGTGGAGGGGAAGGAAGGTAATTACTCTCAACGGGAACGATGGCCTTGGAATCATCAGGTTTATCGGACTTTTCCTCTGAAGGAGGAGTGACCGGAATTACGGATTTCTCCTCGGCCACGTCCTTTGGTGGTTCGTCAGCAGGAGCGGCAGCTGCTGGAGGATCGGCGACGGGAGGGGCGGGGGCAGGGCATTCGGACTCGGCCTTCTTAGCTTCTTCTTCTGCCATGGATTAGAACGTTGGGAAGCTGAAAAGGAGAAAAGGTGGCAAGGAATTGAGGGGTGTTGTGGGAAGAGAAACGGAAAAGGGGAATGAATAACGGAGAAGCTGCTGTAGAAAGGAAGGGAAGGAAAATGAGAGAAGAGAGGGTTGGGTTGGGTTGGGTTGGTTTGGTTGGGTTGTGATATTGTAGTTGGGGTTGGCGAAGGCGGGTAACGTCTACTGTATAATACCTCTCTCTCTCTCTCTCTAGTCAAGTGGCCAAATGCCAACTGGATTTTTGTTTTATATTTTCACGGCTATTTATTTTTATGTTAACATTTGGAAATTTGATATAATTAAGTAAACTACAATTAAATAAATTCCTAATTTCCCTTTTATTCCAAAATAGGTTATTTTATATATAAAAATAATATTACATACACCATCATCACCTTAAACAAAAATATTGAAATTGAATCAGAAACGACATACAAGATTTTTCCTTTAATTATAAGTATAGGGAACTATATAACTCAAACTTATTTTCAACTGTTAATTTCTGCATTATCAAAACGTTCGTTCGAGAATCACCTTCAATAACTATACAACGTTGTTTTAGCCAATATACATATAGAGAGACAATCATGAACAACTAACAACTTCTCGGGTACGTACTTGGGTTTTAATTTTGACTTAACAATCCAAATCATTTTTTTCGGTAAATACAATCCAATTCATTGGTTGGTCATAATTGTTAATTTCCTTTTAAGCATATAGAATATCAATTCCAAATTTTTATTCAATTTTGTAAATTTGTTTACACAAAATCAAGATAAACAAATCGAGCTCCTCCACCTTCTCCATAAAGCAAATCCAATCAAAAAAAATATTCTTTTTCTTAATCAAATCATGGATAACTGTTCTACCAAAAAAAATCATGTATAACTAGAGTAGTGGTGGTGGCTCCAGCCTGTTAATTACTTCTTTGCTTAGGGGTCGTTTTGAGAACAGGATTCAGAGCGTAGATTTATTGAATCCGTAGATTTTGTAGAAAATCATGTTTTTTTGTTGATTTTTGTAATAAGGATTTTAGCTTCATGGATTTCAAATCTCTAAAATCTATGGATATCAAATCTCTCATAATCAGAGAGATTCTATATCTTGATTCGTGAGATTTTTTTTCCTACTTTTTCTCTTCATTTTATTTATTTATCAACAAAGTTTTTAATATTTGTAGAATCAATCTAATTTCTTATTAAGGATAAACATGTTATTTAATATAAAATTGTAAATTTTATTTTCTGTGAATGTTAACAATCACAATTACCAAACAATAAATATTTTAAAATCTATTTTCAACAATCCGAAGAGTTTGAATCTTTAGATTGTTGACAATCTATAGATTTAAACTCATATTCTCCAAACGACCCCTTAATCGAGATTCCTTGCTGAGAGGAAGAATCTTTTTTTATTTGAGGGACCAGGTTGTAAGGATTACTAAACTTGGGAAGTTAGGATAGTTGGTGGAAATTAATATATTGATCTCTTTCACTCCACCTTCTTTTACTTAATTTCATGCCAGGACTTGCATAAACCCTCCAACATAATCTATCGACAGCACGAATTGTGAAGGTCGGAAAGCGATTTACCAACTAGATAGCAATTAAATGGGTAAGTTCATTTCATTGTGATGATGATAAACCATGTTATTAATCTAAGCCTATGCATCAATGTCGAAAATGTGACACGATGAAGGCCACCCGAAACACGGGAGAAAATTACGTGTGAAGCTTTAGAGTTGAATAATATGTTTCAATTAGTTGATTCTAATACTGTCTAATACATAGAATCTTGTGTATATTGGTTTCAATTTTGTGTGGTTTTGATGAATCGACTTGTAGGGGTAAATGAATATTGACATCTTCATGTTGGAGTTCATGAGTTCAAATCTTCTTCAGTAATTCAATGCTATTTAAAAAAAAAATGGTCTAAATAAATTCATATTCAAATAAGGAACTCACAGAGTAAATGACAATTTTTTTTATGGATTAGAAAGGTGGGGAAAAAGGAAGAGTGCATGAATTAATAAGCCTATTAATTCCCAATTATCAAGTGTATGGTTGAAATGCATAGATTTCTGAAAAGGGTGCATCTGAGGATGTCCTTTGTTTGGGATGCCTGGTTTGATTTGTTGATGAGGATTGCTTAAGTACGTTGATAAAATTCACATCCCCGTGTATATATAGAGAGAAATCGTATGTTTTATCATTTTCCAATCGAGTTGCTAAAGAAAGTATTGCCAAAAATTCATTTGGTAATTCACAACTAAAATCCTATTAAAATCAATTTAAGATCTCAGCCACCTCAGGGACACTATATATCATTCACGGGAAGAATATATACTTCAAATCTCCGATACAAAAGATATTTGAAATCTCCAAAAATATCGTAATATAAGTTACACGACTAGAGCAAGTTGTAATACATATATATACCTATCCAATAAATCTTATTCCATTGTCAATTTATGCGTAGAACTTAGCTTGACCAAAGCTTAGCTAAGCATTGTGGAAACTCCAACCTGTCGACGGCCAGTTTAAATTTTATCCACTTTCTCCAGAGCAATAAATCGCTGGATTACTTCACATCGTGGTGCTAATTTCGTCAATTAGCGATATCATGATGAACTGGATTAATTAAAAGATAATAATTTGTTTTTCTCCCCTTCTTAGGCGTGTGATTGTTCGATGTGGACGCAGCTTAATTGAGACAGCAGTCTTATGTATTAGCCACTCAAGCACCATCCAGACCATATACATCCAAAAACCCTAATGGCTGCAGACAAGAAAGAAAGAACATTAAGCATGAGCTAATTGGAGACTAATATTGAAGGACGGTAATCTGGTTGTTTCTGGATCTGTCAATGCACATGCATGCTATGTGTATACTAGCGTTCCACATGTGGTGTGTACTGATTTTTTTATCGAGAAAAATGAAGGCTAGGTAAGTGAGGATTTTGTCGAAAATGGATACTCTTAAAAAAAAAATACACAAGATTAAATACAATGTGTTCATAACCGAATCGAACGTTAAACAAGAAAAGTCAATGGTTGATGGTTCAACAACTAACTGTTGTAGAACGATTGGTTATTTGTTGATAGAACTGTCCATGCCCTATAACATAAAATATATATATCACTAATTTAGGAGTAAATTTATCACTCGCTAGCCATAAACAATCTCAAATCCATATTACCTATCACCAAAAAGTGCTAACAAAACATCCAAACTATCACACAAAAGAAATCATAAATTTTTTTTTATGAAAGTCAAGTTATTAATGAGAGTGACGATTCGTAGTGGAACACAGAAAGTCGACAAGAAGAAAAGGAAGCATAAATAGAATTAGTGATTGAGGCTACATGATCTTAGTTTAGGTTAAGGTTTTTTCTTAATTCTTTGTGGTTAAAATAGTGAGCAAGTGGACTAGTAAATTTGGGGCGGTTCATCCCTAGTCTATCCATTCAAATTAACTGAATTGCCATTGTAAATAGTTTAGTAGTTCTACTAGCACAGTCATTGATCCGGTTCGGTTCTTATAATAACAATGATTATATAGATTTTGTTAAATATTTTAATTATTCATTACATAATCTTATATTTGGAAAGGTTTGGTAAACTATAATACATTAGTAGTTGAAACTATCAAGAATATCACTTTCAAATTTCAATGTACCAAACAATTATTCATTATTTAGTTAGTTGTTCACTTTTGAATATTTTTTTTGTTTGTTTTGTTTTCAAGAACCAGACTATTAATTTGTTAGTGCATTAGAGATTGATCGATAATTTTTTCTCCAACTCTGAAAATGAGGGTCACTTGGCAAGAAATTATCTGAAAATGGGGCATTCCAGAATTCCAATCAAACATTAAGATTTGATGACTTCGTTGTCATCACATATGAGTTGCTGTTTTTGGCTGGCGCAATTCCTAATGCCTTGTTTACAGCCACGAATTCTGATTTGGCTGTCTGGTGCAGTATAATCATGCTTCCGTATACCACAAAGCCATGGCACCATTCCAATTCTTTGACTCTTATCTAATCATTCATTTCGATAACCTAACTTTCCCCATTTCAGCAAGAAACAGAGACCTTAAAGAACAGATGAACAGATTACATTACCCCAAACTATCATCCTGAAAATGCTGTGTTTATATACACCACAAAATTACAAACATACCAAATAATACATCAACAAACAAATCCCACACATACAAATACGCTGCAAATCACAAACAAGCTGCAAATTCAATTTTTTTCCTGGCTGCCTATATGAATCTATGAAAGCCGTACAAACAAACTAGAAATGTTTCATGAGTAACAAATTGTAGTTTTGGTGAAATATGATGCAAAGGGATATACAACAAACCGAATACTATAAAGAAAAAAAAGGAAGGATCTTGTTTTTTGGGTTTAGAAACAGCCGCAGCCAAGTGGGTTCTTTGGGGTAGTCCCTGTGGCGCGATACTTTGCAGCAATCTCCTCTGCTTTCAGCAGCTCTTCGCCTCGTTTCGCTTCGGTCATAGCTCTCTTCTCCTCGGCTTGCTTGTGGATTTCTGCAATCTTGTTCTTCATCTTCTCGGCGTACTCTGCTTTCTTCTTCTCCAGTTGTTCCTCTAGCTTCTTGAGCTCCGCCTCTATGTTCGCTTTCTTGCAGTTCTCCCATGACTCTATTGCAGAGATCTTCTTCTGAGCTCTGGTTCCCGGAAAATAGGACAAAAACCCAATTAGGCACTGGAAATGGAGAAAAGGGGAGGGAAGGGAATGAAATGAGAGTTGGAAGGGTTTTCTTCTTACTTGTTCTCGGCTTTGCTCTTCTCGGCCTCTTCCCAAGCTTTGATGAGAGAAGTCCGCTTCTCTGTTTCAACTCTGGCAAGTACAGCATCTAAAAACCCACACCCAGCACAGCAAACAAACAAACAAAGGAAAAAGTTACTTCCTTTATCCAATCAAAGCGAAGCCATGAAAATCTGGAACTCAGAAAGGGAAAAGGGTTTGTGAATTACCTCGATTGATAGAGCCCTCAGCAGGCTTTGCCTCTTCCACTGGAGCTTCTGCCACCTCTGTTTCCCCAAACCAACCAACCCCAATAAAAATCAATTTTTGTATACATTAACAAAGATTT